CTTAGAGGATAGAAAGATGAAGAATAATTGAATAAAATGTGCTATAAACGTGGTAAGAAAAAAAAAAGGAAAAACTTCTAAGTTGTTTTCTTCGTAACTCAACAGGAAAAAAGTGAAAAACAAAAAAAAAAAAAGTTGTAGGAGACAGAAAACTGCGTCATTCACTTTATTTGTTCCTTCATTTTTCAACTTTTCGACGTTTTCACTGCTTTATCTTGCAAACAAATTTAAAAAAAAAAAAAAAAAACGTGTTTGAAAAGAGAAACACAGAAAACACATAAATGTAGGGAAAATATTTGTAGAATTTCTTTCATATATTTCTTGAAGACCAATGACAATAACAATAATAAGTAAAAATAAAGATGATAAAGGCGATAGCAAAGACACTAATATGTTGGTGATGGTGAGGAGAATGAATATGACGGCTTATTAGAGCTTTACAGCTTTGTCGATAAAATTAAAGTTGCTAGTGGTGGTGCTGCTGCTGCTGCTGCTGCCGTCACCATCGCTGTTGTTATCTTCCATCTTTTTTTTTTTTATTATCTGTTTTGATTTTATAAACTTTAATGCACGAAAATCATAACCAGTAAATTTTTTTGCATGTTCATTGAAACGCAAATTTAGCATTTAAAAGGACAAGATAAGCAGAAGAAAAAAAGAAAAAGGAAAAAAAAATAACTATTAAACAATACTAAGCTGACTTCGAGCATCTTTTTTCTTCTTTTGCCTTCACTATTATCCTGATATAATAAAAGCAAAAAAAAAAAAAGATGCAATACAACGTAAACGTGATAAAGTTATGTACGACCGTAGAAGCCGTAGAAGAACTGTAGGGATTGACAATGAGCTGTGAAAAACTTCAATAAAACTGCTAGAACAAATTGAAATTGATCATTAGCAGACATAAAATACTGTCGACTAATATTCTTTGCCTGCATCAACAGGCACTAACCGCTGTTCTATAGCATAAACTAATAGACAACTAATTGCTAAAATATAAACACAGACATATGATTATAAATACTAATTTCATCTATATATGTATGTCTGTGCTTGGCTATTTGTGTAAGTGTATATGGTTAAATAAACCGAGTTGGTGAATTTAGTTATAGACTACTCAACTATCAATTTACCATTAAAAGACACAAAAATCAACAGGAAATGTATTTCTTCAGATATAAGTACAGAGACGATTGGAGAGATTGATTGATAGACAAAGGAATAGTTTGGCAGAAAATCAGAGAGATGGACAGATATAATTAAAAAAAAAAAGGGTAAATGTGAGTTGAGAGCAATGAACAGTTTAATGTGTCACTGCGATAACCGTTTGTAGTGGGAAAAACTGTTTTTATCTTGAACTGTTTTTATTTTGTTTATATTAAGCTTTTTCACAGCCATCGGTTAGTTGACTAACAGCCTTCTTTAGTTGTCTAATTATTTTTGTTTAACTTTTCCTCTACCTCCTCCTCTTCCCTCCTCTCCTCTCCTTTCTCTTTTTTAAATCCCTTAAATCAAATTTACCATTCCTTTACATTCAATATTGTTTCCAAAATTGCAGTTGGATAAACGGATGATTGTATTTCGTCATTTGCAAACGACTGTTTAGTGCAAACTATAAATTTTTTAGGGCAATAAACAAATTTAAAAAACTTTTTTAATCTAAAAATTTCAAAAACTTAGTTTTTCTGGCACTTATCCTAATTTTTTGTACACAAATATTCTTTTTTTATTCAAGAACACGTGCTACAAAAATTTTTGTTAATTAGTGGCCGAAAAAAAGAAAAAAAAAGAGTATATGCCTAAAAAACTTCCAGGCAGTCAACTTTCTACTCTCGATTATTCAATTACAGTTCAAATCTACAAATATCAGTTTATTAAAAAAAACCGTTTAGTCAGAAGCCTTAATTACATATGTTCTTCACAGGCACACGACAAATAAAAAAAAAAAACAACAGCAACAACAGCAATGTTTGTTAGCATGTCTTTTGTCCATTAATCATTTTTAAACTTGTCTGGTTACATTTGTTAACCCTGACTTAACTGCAGTCTGGGAAAAGTTTTTTGCTTTTATAATAATTCAAAATTTTGGTCCCATACTATTTACTATTATAAATAATTAACACTGAGAAGTAACCGGAGATGATAAAAAGCCTGTAACGATTAATAAATTTGGCACTAACCTGGACATGCTCGTCGTTGTTCTAAGGTTTGGTCGAGTTTCACTCCGCCCAAACCGATTACCCAACTTAGACAAAACAGAGTGTGCCACACTCATCAATGGGCTTTTTGGTGTTTCGGATAGACGACTCTTCTTTGCCGTGATTGATACGGGATTTTTTGCAGCCAGATTTTGTGCTAACTTATTCTCAATCACAAGCGAATAGTCATCATCTACACATTTTTCTGTGCTTATCTGTAAATTTAATCAAAGTTGTAAACTGCATTAAATTTTCAATTTTATTTCATTTTTTTTTTTGCTATTTTTTTAATCAACGTTTTCTATTTCTTCATCTTGTTCATTTTCAATATCAGTATTTTTTTGACATTTTGCCATCATTTTCAATCTTACTATTAATTACTTTCTTTATCAACGCTACTTACTGATATCCCGGACATTTTTTTTGCTGTTATTTTAGACGATGATAATTATAAACATAAAAAACTGAAATACAGCACAAAAAAGTACTTTTTTTCAGATTCATGTAAACAAAAGTTTTTTCTCATCATTTCATCTATTATGATACAAGTTTTTTCATAAATATGAAAGAAAAGCTATAAGAAGACGTACATTTTACACTGCATAATAGCGTTACAAACAATCTGAATATTTCGAAAAAAATGAGAATCAAAAACAGTTTTCAAGAAGTAAACTTGCTTAACCAAATTTTTAGCTGCTTTTGAGGACCCGTTAGCAACATCGTTCACTGAGGTAGTTTGAGTGTCACAAATCACTACTGCAGTATTGTTTTCGGCTACCGATATCTTCCGCTCAGATGCTTGCGTCATTATGGAATCATTGGACCGTGATTCGGGTATTGGTGGTATAGCTCGATTAAGCGGTGGACGAGGCTTTGGTCGACTGACCGACGTTGACTGATTATCATCGTCTTCTGGGGCAATCGGTCTTGTCGATGGTACCACCACTAGAGAATGTGTCCGCGGGTACGGATATGTATTGGACGATTTGTACAACCTTAAAGCAACAGGAGATAAAACCGCAAGAAAGGGGACACTTTAAAATTTGAAAGAAGTGAAAAAGGAGAAGAAGATTGAATTTTATATCAGCTTAATTTTTCTGTTTGAGCCACTACCCTAGTTTTCCGCCTTTTTTTCTTTGTTCATAAATTTGCTGTATTTTTTTTTCTTGTGGATAAGCGAAAAGAAAACAAGGGGGAATTAACCAAACGCAGAAAGCTTAAATTTACTAAACAACGGAGAAAATTTCATTGATGAACAACGCAAAAAAAAAAAAAACCCGTAGTTTTGTTTGTTGAAAATACAATTGAATTTTGTTGTTTCAGCTTGCAAATCAAACATTTATGTCTGTTTCAATAAAGTTGTCCAGTCAACTTTGATTAAAAATTCTGATGAAATATAAGTTTGGGTCATAAAGCATCAAACAAAGAAAAAAAAAATTATGAAAGAAGGGACGAAAAAAACAACTGAAAACGACAAAAATTGTTTCATCACTACGTTCAACTACAATATTGAACAAGTTGCAAAATATCTGAGAGGGGATAGAAATCTTTTTTCTTTTTTTTTTCTACTAAATGTCATTTGTGAAACCAATCGCAACAACAAAAACTGCTGGGGGAGATTGGTTTAGTAGGTGAAAAAATAGTAGCAAATAAAAAAAAGCAAGAACCAAAAAAAAAAAAAAAGGTAAAATAAAATAAGCACTTTCTAACGTTATTCGGTAGTTTTGTAATTGCTAGGAAAAAAATGTCTCATTGATGAACAGGCGAAGACACTAATAATTGCTGCCAATTGTCACTTTAAAAATAGCA